CTTTGGCTAAAACAAATTATAAATATGAATTGTTGGTTATTTTAGAATCTCTTATACTAATTTTATCACCTTTATTTTTGCTTTTTGAAGGGGTAGGAAAATCAGAACTCGTCTGAATATTAGATCTAATAGTTGTTGATGAAAAGGTTTCCGTCGAGGTTCCTGAACTTTCTGCAACTTCATGGTTAAAATCACCAAGATAATCATCAAAATCATTTTCTATCATCCCATAGGATTCCATTATCTCGTAGGGTTCTATTATCTCATAAGGTTCCATCATCTCGTAAGGTTCCATTATTGCTTATACAAATACTAAAGTGCAACTAAAATTAACTTTTCTGATTTTTGCGCGAAGATATTTTTAACGTTTTATTCAAAAAGTTTATCAGCTTTATAGATCTCCAATCCCTTCAATTATATTATATTCAGAAAATTGATCATGACTGCCGTATAAGCACTAATAATGCTCACATGCGCATTATTTCAAATAAAAGCCATCTTTCTGGACCTGATATTTCTGAAATAATGCGCATGTGCGCCTTCGTATTGCAGCCTAATCTGTTATTGATCAATTAAACTGTCTATGACTTTAATCAACTGTGCAGATTTGGATAACCTGAATGGAATAATTTACTTCGTTGTTGATTGTCATGAATATGAAATTTGAGTTAAAAGAATAAAATTAGGTTTTACTTTGTAATGATTAATTTTTTTTATTAATATGCCAAGTTAGCTAGCTACAATTTCTATTCAGAAATTGAAGTTGAATTAAATAAATACAAAGCATTTATTAATAATCAGAAGCGGCAAGTAGTTTTATATAAGTTTATATTGCAATAATTAAGCGTATGTGAATTTTTATTAATTAAAAACTCAAAATTTTTTAGGTGGTATTATAATGATCAATCATTAGATGCATTTTCAAAATCAGATTATAAAAAATTTAGCGGATAAGTATAAATATCAGTTCTACTGCAAAAACCCGACATCTAAAATCTCGATATTGATATCACGCGACGTAACAATTAAAAATTTAAAGTTTGACAATAATTGTTAATGTGAATACTAATCTTTAAATATTAATTGTCATGTCAGGATTATGGTTTTCGAGATTTTGGATGTCAGGATTTTGTGGTAGAACCATAAATATCATAAATAATATCAGAATGAAATCTATAATTTCAGGCTATATTATTATTAATCGAGTTAGTTAAAAGTTCTATCGAATGTGATATGATATCTCGATGCCCATGGGCGCTATTTTTCAAAAATGATATAAAGAGAATTACTCGGTCTTTACTTGAAATTGGTGCAATTACTTGTTTTATTATTTTCGCCCATATGACTTGAATATATAATTTTAAATAAAAAGTTTTTTAAAAAGCAATTCGAGAATTAAGCAGGTTGCTTAACCAGAAATTAACCACTTTTCAT